ATTTACCCCACCGCCCTGATGATGCCCTACAACCCTACTCTATGTCTTCGTTTGCAGAGATAATGGAACGAGCCTTTATTCTTGCTGGTACCTTCTTTTAGGGAGTACTACGATGGTGGATGGCCCTGTCCACAAAGCCTAAGTATTTGCGTGCCCCCCAAAGGGGGAAATTGTGTAGCCTACTAGGCCGCCCAGATCTTTCGCATCATTTCTGCACCACAGGCCCTACTGCCTGCCCTCGTTCGGGGTACAAAGTGTTTTTTGGGGCGGGCTATACGGTTTGCCCCGCTTAGGAGATAAGAAATACGAAAGTTTTTGCCGCAGGGGGCTCTATAACTTTTTTCCCTTAATTTTTGCTTATTCCAAAGCCAGCTGCTGTGCTGCATATGTGCTGGAGGCAGCCAGGGATGTTTAGCTCTGCTCATTTCGGCAGCAGCGAAACGAGCCACGGTCATTCGGGCATGACAGACCTACTATCTTTTTTTCTTTGTTATAACCCCGACCTGGCCTGCTGGGGAGGCAGGACAGGCCTGGCCTATCATCGAACATTATCGCAGCAACCAAAAAAACAGCAAGACTGCAATCCGACAGAACTGCTGTATTGATCGGAAGTGGAGGTCAACAGCGCACGTATATCAAAACTCAAAGTGGCAAAGGCAGTCGCCACCACCGCTCCCGCAGTCCCGTCCAGTCGCCAGCATCAGATCACAGAGCTGGTATAAAATGGTTCGAACTTTGAAACCATATGGGCGACTTGCCCAGGTTTGGTTGGCATTCACAGATTAAGAGGGAGGGCTTATAAAGTTTGGCTCTATTCTCAGCAGTGAGTTAGGTGAGGAAATCTTTTTTTTTCGTTCTTCTTTTCTTCCTTTTTCTTTTCTTATAACTAGGCTATATTCTTCTCTCTATTTCACCTTTCACTATCTACCTACCACGAATCCTAAGCCTGTACAGGGGACACCTGCACGCATAGCTACCAATCACAACTACAGCGATGCATGTTGCCCCCCCGCCCTAATCAGCGAGGGCCAGGGAGTAGGGTGGGGCCACCGGTGGGCGGAGCCAGCTGATGCAAAGACCGAGCATTTTGCCAGTGGCTGTGCCACCCGTCTACTTCCCCCAACCCCCATCAAGTAGCAGCAGTGGATATGGCCAACACTCTCCCACAGACCAAAGGAACCCACTCACACTCACACTCACACTCACACCCATATTGGTCATAGACCCTACTACTTAAATACCGATCAGGCGTATCAAGCGGACTCACACCCGTATTGGTCATAGACCCTACTACTTAATACCGATCAGGGCTATCAAGCGGACTATCACAGTTGGTTGGCAGTAAGCGTGCCGCAGGCGGCCATGGGGCTCGAACTCACAACCTCCTGAATGCCACTTGCGTGCCTGACCAACTGAGATAGGCCACTGGATCTAGGTGGCATCGTAAACTAGATGTCCTTCGTGATTCGTCTTGAAGGAAAAAAAAGGAAGAGACGGTTGTTTCTTTTCTCTGTTCTTTTTTCAATTCTAAGAAAAAAATTGTAGGTATCACCACCACTACCTCCGAGCCTCGTTTTCCCATGGCAGATTTGCTTTTTTTTTCTTTTTTTTCTTTTTTTAAAACTGATACATATGTGTCAGAAACGGGGTCAAGTGACCCTCACATTTATGTCTCGGCCATTCAGGCGGGCGAGGCACTCCCGGCCAAGTCCATCCCAACCGAAGTGTCGTGCGCCAGGATCAGAAAGAATCGACAAGCCGCTAACTTCTCCTTTTTGGCAGGCACCGCCAGCCAAAGGAGGTCCGGGACATTTTGTCAGTGTGGCACAAAAAACAAATTCCCAAGGGGTCCGGCCTGTCAGGGCAGCACTCTTGTTTTGGCCACTTCTGCAACTGGACCTCTGTCCCAGCACCTGCACCTAAGCTGGGTGGTGGTCCCGGTACTGGTGATTCTTTCTTTCCTTTTCCTTCTTGTTCCTCCCTGTTCTTTTTCTTAGTACCGGGTTGTTTGTTGCAGGATTCCCAGGCTCACACCCCTTATGACGAAATGAATCGACTTTCTTTTCAAAACGGGGGAAAACAAAAATGGAAACAGAAAAAAAAACAGAACAGGTTCGGAGGCCACGAAGAACTGGACATGCAAGCCGACTCATCGCAAAAGTTTGCCTGTGAAAGGTACAGGTGGTTCAAGAGTTGAGCCCCGGGACCTCACAATTCAACCCAGTACCGAGGCCATTACCCAGCTTCACCTTGTGCTGGAAACCGGGTCCAGCGTCCCAACCAGCTACCGTCTTCCCCCGAACGAATGTACACAAGCTAAGCTGTCTTTCCGGCCCGGTGCAGCCAAAATGAGGGTTCGTTGTGTTCGGTGGAAGATGGTAGTCCTCAGCCTTTGACCGTTGCCAAAAGACCTGAATATTTGTGAACATTTTCTTCACAAACTCACAGCTTTACGCCGACAAACCTTATGACGCGAGGCCACCATCCCCTTCTCCGCTATGGTCAATACTTCTTCGCTCGACTCCGCAAGGAATCGAAACGGTGATTTCTGGCTCGCGGCGGGAATGCCTTAACCACTGCTGCTCCTGTGAGGCGGTATTCGAAAGTGGAACGATACTGGTACTAATGATATCCACCCAACCCCTTCAGTGCTGCAGTATGAGCACACTTCCCACCAGACATCACTCGAATTTCGCCGACAAGGCTTGTGTCCTTCTCACGCGGCCACCTGGTTTGGGTATAATTTCTTGGCCAATTACCCCACTGGAGTACAGTCTGCACTGTTCTTTGCTTGACCTTGCCTCAAGGAATCAAACCTGGTCCATCCATCTCTGGCTCAACAGCCGCATATTTTAACCACTGTGGCAGGGACACCGTGTGTTCAAGAGTGGAACAATACCGGCAGGGCAGTGATATCCACCCCCCCCCTGATACCGGCAGGGATATCTTTACTCCCCACACAACATCACTCAACACCCTCCCTCCTACAGCGCTCTCTTATACACATCTAGATGTGTATAAGAGCTAAACCGGGTACTGAACCACTGTGGCAGAGACACGGTGTGTTCAAGAGTGGAACAATACAGGCAGTGATATCCACCCCACCCCTGATAGACGCGGGGATATCTTTACTCCCCACACAACATCACTCAACACCCTCCCTCCTACAGCGCCTGTGACTCTTTCCACGCAGCCACCTAAACCGGGTACAATTTCCAGGTAAGCTACCGCGCAGAAGTACAGTCTGTACTTTTTCCTCGCTCCACGGTCCAAGGAATCGAATCAACAATCTCTGGCTCAACAGTGGCATGCCTTAACCGCTCCGGCTATGACACAGTGTTCAAAGGTGGACCCCATACCAGTAGTGATGTCCACCCTACCCTTGCACGACTGCAGCATGAATATACAGTATTACACACTCCTCGCACAACATCGCTCGACACCACCCACCTACAGGGTCAGTGGCTCTTTTCTCACGTGGCCACCTGCTCCGGGCACAATTTCCCCAGCACGCCAAAGTACAGCCTGTACTTTTTCTTCCCTCGGCCCTGCCAGGAATCAATCGGAGATCTCTGACTCAACCGCCAGGTGCCTTAAGCCATACCACTAGTGATATCCGCCCCAGACCTGCAGGGCTGCAGCGTGAATATGCACTCCCCGCACAACATCACTTCAGACCCACCAACAGGGCCAGTGGCTCTTCTCACGTGGCCACCTGGTCCGCGCACAATTTCCCCGGCTAATTACCATAGGGATCAATCGGCGATCTCTGACTCAACAGTCTGTACTTTTTCTTCCCTTGGCCCTGCCAGGAATCAATTGGTGATCTTTGACTCAACAGCCAGATGCCTTAAACCATAGGGAAAATTGCATCTGTACCCCACTTAAAGATGGGAACACCGGCTATACCCAGTCCCAGCACCAACTTGCGTCTATACCCAGAAAACGGCTGGTGGGAATTGCTTGCACGGCCAGGACCGAGGTGGACCCAGGTTGGTACCGCAAAATTTTAGTTATAACTTATAACCAACTGCTGGAATGCGCAAATAATTGTGGTTATAGCCAACTATTGGAACGCACAAATTATGGACATACCCAGCGAAAATTATGCTCATACCCAAGACCTGAGGAGGAGAGGCCAAATTGTTCATATAGCCTGCTATCGGAGGGCTGAACTTATGGTCATACCCAGCAGCTATCGGGCCGCAACGGTCTACTTGGTGGGCATGAGCATAATTTGGTGCTCTGAGTCCAGGGTCTGCGGGATTGGGTACACCTAAAATTTCACACCGGGAAAAGCTGGGTACTATGCCAAGGTAAACACCCTCCGGGTATAGATGCAACTTCCTGCTGGGACTGAGTATAGCGGGTATTCCCATCGTTAAACCACCAGTACTTGGCCAAGCTATCGGCCGCGGAAAAAAATAGAGTAGAAACGTTTCAAGTTGGATGCATTTGGGCGCTCCTGTAGTGTCCCGTAAGTTTCCTAAAATCGTGGCACGTCAACGGGCACGACTTTGGGAAGTAGTACTGGTGGTTTAAGTGGGGTACAAATGCAATTTTCCCCAAACCATACCGCTAGTGATATCCGCCCCAGCCCTGCAGGGCTGCAGAGTGAATACACACTCCTCGCACAACATCACTTAAGACCCTCCTACAGGGCCAGTAGCTCGTCTCACGTGGCCACCTCATCCGGGCGCAATTTCCTATCAAGTTACCACGCCAAAGTACAGTCTGTACTTTTTCTTCCCTCAGCCCTGCCAGGAACAATCGTCTCTCTCTCTCTCTCTCTCTCTCTCTCTCTCTCTCTCTCTCTCTCTCTCTCTCTCTCTCTCGCGCGCGCGCGCGCGCGCAGTGAGTTCTTAGAAAATGGGAAAGAACCTTCCCGCGTTCGCAAGAAGATTAATTCCCTTTCCTCCCCCCCCCCAAGGTACTAGTGGTTCAATGCATGTCACGGCAGTTTCACATTAGGGTTCACCCTCAGTGCAGAGTTTCTACACCGTGGCCGGGGTTCTTTACTCGTGCCCTAGGAGGCTAGTAGGGGCTAGTAGGGGCTAGTAGACAAAGTCTTCACGCAGCGAAGCCGCCTGCTAGCCACAAGCATGAAGAACGCTTCATGGTGCCTCGCCGCCCCCCCTCTCCACACAAAAGGTGTCCAACACGATGTGAACAACAGGGCACCTGTCAAGCAACGGAGCAGAACAAGAGAGTTATACACCACCTTTCCTGATTGAATCTACAGAATATTGTTGATTTGATGGGCACCCTATTAGGGGTTTATCCCATGGAACTCGTCGAAAACTTTACACGACCCACAGCGGAGCTTTTTTAACATCGTGGGACAGTCCAAACAGAAGAACACAGAAACAGAATTTGGTTACCTACTTGTTATGGGACCACAGGCGGGAGAGTTTCTTATATACTTCAGGGTTGGCTGTTTCAGCCAGATAGGTCAGAAAGGGGAATAAACTGAAGTAGGAAAACCAAAGAAATAGAACACACCGGTGACCACGGGAACCATGAGGTAGAACAAAGAGATTTTCAACAGCCATTTCAGGATGCACGTGGCCACAATCACAGATGACATTCATTCAGAAACAAGCCCCATTCTTAAATCCCAAACAACATTTATTCGAAAACAAACCACATGTGCTAAATTCATTTTCAACAAAACGCCCACAAGTAGATTCTGGACAGATCCATCCCCAACATTGTTGCTGGAAAATGGCTCTACAACAAGCTCCTTCCCACCTCTCTCTCTCTCTCTCTCTCTCTCTCTCTCTCTCTCTCTCTCTCTCTCTCTCTCTCTCTCTCTCTCTCTCTCTCTCTCTCTCTCTCTCTCTCTCTCTCTGACACAAGGTTGCGCTATACACGCGCATATCTCTGGGCATACTCACAGTTCAGAACAATGCCAAGAAGAATATTATCATTTTGACAGGCACCCTATTAGGGGTCAATCGATTCTTTTGGGACATCCATTAAAACTGGAACAATGCCCATGAGATTTGAATGACCACTGCACAAGGATGGCGGCACACACAAGTTGAGTAATAATGAAACTGACCTTTTTCTAATCCCCCATGTCCGGCAGATGTGCGATCTGTGGACTGGATGCTGGACAGGACCAGACATGTCCGCTGCTGCTACGCCTCAAACATATTATTTGCAATCTTTTTCGCAGCATGGGGGGGACGATACGATCCAACCTTCCTCCTCCAGAATGCAGAAGACTGCTCAAGCTTTCCGCCTAACCGGATTTCGCGCCCTGCCAAAACTTCCCGAATGCAAGTGTGCAAGGAACCCCTCGGCAAATTCAACGGAGACAACCGCCCATGGTTTCTTACGCGGCGGTATCTTGCCAATCGGTGGAATAATTCACTGCTCAATCCCACTTCTTACTCAGAAATCCACAGCATTCTCCCCATTCGCCCTCGAAAACCACATATCGGTATAGCCTGCCGGCGCCATCTGATATCCTTTGCAACCCATCCAAGCCGAAGCCGAATTCAGCATACAGATGCAATCAATAGGCTATTGCGGAAGGACAGTGATCGCTCAATGACGCCCTGCTTCAAGCTGTTCAACGCATTCACCGAAGATGCCTGGACATGAAGGGAGGATTTTCTTCGCACAGCATGCCTTGTTGATTGCTCAATGACGCTCTGCTTCCTACCCTCTCTCTTTCTCCACAATTCATCCGCTCCCCTCCATACGTCGTCTATCTTTCACAGATTCCGATGAAACGTCCCATCCACTACACACACCTTGCAGTCTTGCCAGAAGATAGGAAGATAGCTCCTCACGCTGTCTGCCGCAGTCTGATTGCAAGTCCTTTTCATTCTTCTTTTTCTGTTTGATTCGTCAGTTGCATAGAGACTCGAGAGTTTGATTGCACATCCTTATTGTTCCATTCTCTGTTCAGTTTGTCAGCTGAGTACAGATTGTTTGGTGATAGTGGGTGTAGAGATCGTTTGGTGGTGGTGGGTGCGGGGGTGGGGTTGGGGGAGGCCGAGGGTTGCGGTCCGATTCAACGCATGCTAAGGGGCCATTTGCGTCAGAACAGCAAAGCCGAGGTACCCATGCAGATCGTCATTCTCAGTATTTATGGATTCTATGAATGTTGGATGCCGGTCACAACTTCAAAAAATGCAAGATGACTGAGAGGAGGCACCCTGGAGATGGTTCCATTGCAAGAGAAAGGACTGGGTGGCAAAACGGACCATGCACGCTGCTTTGCATCTGGGCTTGTGACGCCATGGAAACACACGTACCTTCATGACATCAAGTTAAGTAACGACTTCGCCTTGCTCGCCCACTTGTGATCAATCAGAGTAGAAAGTGGACAGGTCAAGGGGAGAGACGCTGCGGAATACAATTCGGAAAGGTCGATGACATCTGTCAAAATTGGAACGATACAGAGAAGATTAGCATGGACCCTGCATGTGTGTGTGTGTGTGTGTGGGGAGGGGGGGGGGGGGGGGGGGGGGGGGGGGGGGGGGGGG